TAGGGTCTAACATACATGTTGTTGGTTTAGATGATTTAACAAGTTTATACAAATCTTCCTCTCCTATAGTAGAGAATGGGTGGAATTGTTCCTCAGGGGATCTATAGCACACTATCTGATGCGATACTGTAGCTGACGGCTGCATGGTTACAATTTCATCTCTAATAGTATCAATCTTGGAATTAAAGTACTTTATAAAGTCATTACTGCTGTGCTGTGGGGAAATGTCAACACCTGTTGATGCTTTATTTTTCGTTAATTTAGCCACTGTATTGAATAAATACTTGGGGTTATGTTTGTTTTCTGAAGGCTTTTATATTATCCCGACCAAAAACAAATGACATTTTGTTTGCAGAGCCCAAGTTGTGGCCTATTATATTATCGAAAACAGTTCTACTAGTTTTAACCGTTTATTGTGTGGAACTGATGTGTGAAACATAAAGAGTTTTTTTTAAAGAGGCATTGTCTGAAATAAAATGTTAGAAATGAACGGTTTCACACACAGTTGTGCAGTTTAATCTGTAAACTCGAACATTAGTGGTGCGGCCTGATATCTGAAACTACATTCTCTAATGTTCACCTGACATTTTGCATGCTTTTGCTATTGTTGCAGAAATTGTGCCTTATTTTTTGAAGTGCTTATTTCCTGCCTGGTTTCATCATTTCCTGCTCAAGGGACAAATATCACATGCGTGTAGTGATTGCCTGAGAAACAATGCATGCAGCACAATGGAATCACTGTCTGTGTATCACGGGGCCATCAGCCGAGAGACGTGCGAGATGCGTCTGTGTGAAGCGGGCAAAGACGGCAGCTATTTAATTCGAGACAGTGAGAGCGTTCCTGGCGCATACTGCCTCTGCGTTCTGTAAGTCCTCCAGAAATCTCTGCTTTTTCTCATTTAGGCTCAAATGTGTCACTCAAGTTAACGAACAATACACTGAAAACAAAGGTGAAGGAACTCTTTCTATTTCTATATATATATACACACACACACACACACACACACACACACACACAGACACAGACACAGAAATTGCCTGATTTTCTAATGACATGCAAACATTCCATATTTACATATTTATTGTTTATATTTAAGGTTCTTTTGCATGTGTAATGGAAAATGATATTGTGTTTATCTATCAGTAATAATTATAACACACAGCTGTGTATTTTCTGAGAATGAGTCAAACGTATAGAGGCATGGAAAGGTATTGTCTGAATGAGGTGAGATTGAAAAGAGTGATTATACAGAGAGAAATCTCTCAGCATACCATCTGCCTCAGAGATGAGCTGTTTTATAAAGCTAACATCTCATCTTGAAACTACGTGACATTATAGCTACAGATCTGATATAGATGAAATAAAGAAAACAATATGGGCAACATTATGTTCATGCGCTTAATATACAAGTTCACCAACTCCTTGCAAAGAAATGTTTTTGTTGCTGTTGTTTATTTATTTACTCGTTTATTTTTTGCAGACAGCACCAGGTCAAACTAAACGCTTGTTCCGAAAAGTGAAGAATTTGATCAGCGCCTTTGAGAAACCGGACCAGGGCATCGCCGTTCCTCTCCTCTACCCTGTGACCGTCCAGAAGCTCTGCTAGAATGATCCTCACGACCATCAGCTGTAAACCTACACAACAAACTAAGCATGTGGACAGTCTCACTGTACGATCGCTCTTTTTTACACATGTGGATTCCTGTACATATAAAAGGATTTGTATATAAGGAAAAACAAAAACCTAATTTTGCAAAGTTTAATGTGGGGAAATGAGAAAGCCTCATCTAAATTGTTTTAATACTGAGATCAATGGTCAACAAATATGAGTTTTAATCCTATTCTCAAATTATTAACCCTGTCCTAAACATGCGGTTATTTAGGTGTATTATCATTACCAAACTGACCAATAAAGTGCTGCATTATTTCATTCTCGTCTCATCAAGATGGGACTTTTTAAAGCATCATTTTTATTTGGAAATTATTAGATAAATCAATAAATTCTGGTAATATCAAATTTTTTTTGTGGTGCATTTTAACAGCTATTATAGGTTCATGACAATAATTCTCTTTCAAAACATGTTTTGTGCTGTATATAAAATGTGTTATGGTTCAAGTAGTCTGCTCTTGAAGCTGTAAATATGAAGTTTTTAGCTCTGGCTGATTTTAAATCATAATTTTGACTACCCCTGACCACATTACATGAACATGATTATTTGCATGGGCAGAGCAAGAACGTAAAGTGTTAAGTGTTTCAAATGCATGCGTTGCCCTCTTTAACACTGTTAAACTAAATGCACACAGTAAACATTAACAACTCTGAAATAAGTGTGAACGGTTTATCTGGCGTTCATTTATGTGTGTGAAACTTCTGTTCATTACTGTAGGTGCCTAATAATAGAATACTAGACAAAATAATATAAAGACCCTTATGTTCTCTTAAATAATCAGCATATATATATATATATAGCAAGAATTGGACCTTAAAATAAAGTGTGACCAAGTATATTTATTAGTAGGCCTATACTGCTGAATATGCGTAATGCAAACTAGTCTGAATCTTTAAAACAGTAGTTATTGGTGTTTGTCATGGCAGAACAAATGAGCCAATCCATGCAGCCAGAAGATGCATCCTGTGGAACATCATTCTGAACTTTTAAACATATTTTAAAGCTCTACGAACATAGGGCTGTAAAAGTCCTTGCTTCCTAAGACAAAGTGCTACCCTCAAAACTAGACACTTCAGTAAGTGCCATTAACAGTGTGTGATGGTTCTTTGAGCGACAGTTAATAGATGAACACAGAATTAGCTTTTCATGGTTACTAATCACTTTAACATTAACAGTTAGCTTGTGCTGAGAGTAGTTGAAAACCTCAGTGTTAAAGTTCAGATGTATATACTGGCATAAAGGGAAGGTTATATTTTTAGATGCTGCAAACATTTGGGCTTTATTTTTAAGTATAGAACAAATATTCCATGCAGGCTCTAAATTGATATGAATTTATGAACTGCTTGCTGAATATATAATTATAATACAACATCCCAGAAAAAATCCTTAAGGCTTTTTTACTCATGGATGCATGACATGGACTTAAAGATGCTATGCTGAACTTTAATCGGAGGTGTACAAATGACCCTTTGCTGCTGTTTTAGTGTTCACCTTTCGTGTCTTGGAAACCATTTAAACCATAGCAGATGTATAAAGGTCCACTGAGGCACAGACTAACTCACACAATCAGCCACATCAGAGTGAAACGAAACAGAACAAACCACCTCTTTCCTGCTCCTTCCATTGTGTTCAGGCTTTTCTGCTGTGGTTGCTTATTTCACGCCTTAATAAGTATATTTTCCTTTTCAAAAAATATATTTAAGCACACTTTCCTAATCTAAAGACGAATTCACCGCAACACCAGCCACCTACGCGCTGTCCTTTCATCTCAAACCAGCAGTTTCCCCATTCAATGCGAAATCACATCGTGTGTGAGAAGAAACGCTTGGATGGAAACTGAAGCATCCAACGTTCACATGAAGCCTCTGGGATGAGTGCTGAAACGGCTTCAATAAATCTTCAAACGTGTCCTAATGATCTTAAATAATTTATGCATGACAATCTCCTGGATAACTAAACTGATTTAGAGAAGCACTGGTCTGATGGGGACTTTCCCTGCGATTGTTTGCTTTGAAACGACTAGCACGTAAATGTCAAGCAATGAACTAGGTTTTAAATAAGCAAAGCAATTCCTAATGACTAAATGCATTTATGAATTGTAAAATCAAATCAAGCTTGTGCATTTATCCAAAACAACAATACACTGCCAAAGAACGAAAACACAAATTATATTCAACAATCATTACTTGCTTGCAATTGGGTCATTCTGAGGAAGCAATGCCATTTATGAGCAATGTGTGTCCCCAGTTTTACTGATTTAATTTAAAGCATACTGCACTAAATCACATTATTTCACAGATTTGACACTGTATACATGTATGTAATGTCAGTATCTGCATGTCATTATAAACATTATAATAACTTGATGACAAGATAACGGGATGGTGAGTGTGGATCACAGTGCCAGGTGAGTTCCTCTGTGAATGGGGCAGTGCACAGTGGGATTGAGATGCTGGACCACAGAGAAGGAGAGGAGTACCAGGAACTCTGGAGCAGGAACCATCTGAGATAGTTATCACAGAGAAATAGATTGCAGGTAAGCAGTCGTGTTTCCACCTTGGAGACCAGACAAAGACTGAGGCTGAGGAGTTTGCTTAAACTGTGATTTGATTAGTGCGATGATGAATGATGGGTGCTGGTTATTAGTATTTAGGTGACATGGATCATAACGTAGGGGTGACAGTGGAGCCTGGTGTATTTGTGACATTATGGCCTGCTCCTGAGGGCTAAGGACCCTGATGCTGGGTCAAGCTGTTGGAAGACTGTTTGAGGGAGTTTTGGGCATACTTGGCCCAGGCAAGGAACCGGTTCCAGGAGTTTGCCTGCTGGTAATTGTCACAGGGTCTTAGAGTTGGCACACTCTTAACAATGTATGGTAAAAAGTGTCTGCTTTTGTGGTCTTTGAGCCAGGTCGATAGGATATTGAGAAGTTGAACCTTGTGAAGAAAATGGCCCAGCAAGCTTGGTTGGGGTAAGGCATGTCGTGGAGGAGTTCTAAATTTTTGTGGTCAGTAAGGACTGTGAATAGATACCAATGCCTCCATTCCTCTAAAGCAGTGGTTCCCAATCCTGGTCCTGGAGAACCCCCAACACTGCACGGTTTTGGTGTCTCTCTTATCTGACACACACATTTGAGGTCTTGGAGTCTTCAGTAATGAGCTGATGAGTTGAATCAGGTGTGTTTGAATAGGGAGACATCTAAAATGTGCAGTGTTGGGGGTTCTCCAGGACCAGGATTGGGAACCACTGCTCTAAAGCAATCTCGATGGCCAGAAGTTCGCAATTGCCAATGTCATAATTTATTTTCTCTTGGATGAGTTTCTTTGAAAATAAGGCACATGGATGTAGGTTTGATATCGCCTGCTGCTGAGAAAGCACCACTCCTACCCCTGTGTGGTCCACTTTGACAACAAAAGGTTTCTTAGGGTCAGAATAAGGAGCAATGTGCTGGACTAAGCCAACTTGAGCTGTTGTAAGGCTTTGGTGGTGGCTGGGGTCCAGGACTTTGCTTTCATGAGGTTGGTCAGTGGAGTGGTAATGGACTTGAAGCTATGGATAAAGCGGCAACAGAAGTTGGCAAATCCAAGGAAGCGTTGTAACTCTTTAACTGTTGTGGGCGTGGGCCAGTACAGGATAGCAGATACCTCCCCCTCATCCATCTGAATACTCTCTTTACTGATGTTTTATCCTACGAATTGATGGAACGTCATCTTTCGGATTTGAGGAACAGATCAAATTTAAGCCAGCGTTGGAAGACCTCTGAGAGGTGCTGACGATGTTTGGCCAAGCTTCGGGAGTAGTTGTCATCGATGTAAACTTGTGTAGCTACTTCCAGAGCACTTCATGCATAAAAATCCTGGAATACGGAGGGAGCGTTCATCAGGCCAAATGGCATCACCAAGTATTCATAGTGACCCATGGGAGGTCATGAAGGTGATCTTCCATTTGTCTCCCTCACATATCCAGATGAGGGTATATGAACTCTGGAGGTCCAACTTAGTAAAGATGTAGCTCCTCTTAGAAATTTTCCAGGGCTGCTGGGCTGAGGGCAAGTGGGTAATCAGGGGATGTGGAGAGACAGATGTATCCTTGCTGGTACATCAGAAATCACCTGGGCCTCATCATCTCCCAGCATTACATCTGTCGGTTGGGCAGAGTTTCCACCTGGGCTCCTCCCTCCCTCAGTTCACCTGTGGGTCACCACCCTCATGGGCGTATCCTGGGTTGCTCTGGGAACTCATTGGCCATCCGTTCCTTCCTGGATCCTACCACCATCCACTCCTCCATGGCTCTTCTCATCGTCAATGCCTCCATGGGCCCTTCCACTATCTTCCTTTTTGGGTTATCTGGTCTCCTGTCCTTCACCAGTCCCTCGTCCACATCCAGAACCAACTCCTTGGCCAGTTTATAGCACGTGGCTGCACCTTCCCAGAGAGGGGCGTTATGTTTCTGTGTTTTTTTTTGTTTGTTTTTTGGTTCTATTCAACTTCATCAGTCAGATATCACTAAGAATAACATTAAAGAGATGTGTGAACATTGCAAGTACAATGTCAGACGCTGTAATAAGCTCTAGTCCTCTCCCTGCTTACCGCAGTGATGAGATACATAGTAGACTGTCATCACTCAATGGCTGGATGTCTAAGTGGTGCCCACAGAATAACATAGGTTTCATAGACAATTGGACGAGTTTTACGTCTAGCGGATATTCTCCAAAATGGCACCAGGGTGATGCGGAGGAGACAAATTTTTGTTTAAAGTCGTTATTTTTTTTTCTTTTGCACATGTCACAGAAGACAGTTAATTCTCAGCACATAGAGACTCTTTCACCTAGATATCACACTATAGAGACTGTGTCTGTTCCCCGAGCTAGAAAACACAAAAAATGTCCAAAACAATTTAAGAGTAACAATTTAATTAATGTTCAACAAATTAAAAAAAACAATAATACACATGATAAAGCTTGGCTTAATGAATATTAGATCCCTTTCTACAAAAGTGCTTTTTGTAAATGATATGATCACAGATCAGAACTTAGATGTGCTCTGTTTGACAGAAACCTGGCTAAGAGTCTACCCCCCAAGATTACTGTTATAAACATGAGCCACGTCCAAAAGGTAAAGGGGGAGGTGTTGCTACAATTTATAGTAATATTTTCAGTATTTCTCAGAGGTCTGATTTCAAGTATAATAAGTTTGAAGCAATGGTGCTTTATGCAATATTATCAAGTGTAATAAGTGTTTTAATAATTTGTACTGGCTACTGTATACAGGCCATCAGGGCACCATACAGACGTTATCAAAGAATTTGCTGATTTTCTATCTGAGTTATTGCTGGCTGCAAGTTTTAATTGTTGGTGATTTTAATATCCATGTTGATAATGAAAATGATGCATTTATTGACATTCTGAACTCTATTGGGGTTAGACAACACGTGTCAGGACCTACTCATTGTCGTAATCATACTTTAGATTTAATACTGTCACATGGAATTGATGTTAATGGCGTTGAAATTATGCAGCAGAGTGATTATATCTTAGATCATTATCAAGTTTGTGTACACTCCACATAGCTAAAGCTGTAAAAAAAAATATGGCAGAACCTTCACTTCTATCACAAAAAAAAAACTGCTTGTGAATTATCTTCCTGACTTGTCTCAATTCCTCAGCATATCCGGTAGATAAGGAAAACTTGATGTTGTAACAGAAATTGTGGACTCTCTCTTTTCTAGCACTTTAGACACTGTTGCTCCTTTACACTTAAAGAAGACGGTCCAACACCATGGTATAACGAGCACACTCATGCCCTAAACAGAGCAGCCCAGAAAATGGAGCACAGCTGGAAGAAAACAAAACTAGAGGTATTTCGTATTGCATTGAGGGAAAGTACTTCCTCCTACAGAAAAGCCGGTAACACTTTATTTAAAGGTGTCCTTGTTACTCATGTTACATGTAGTTACTATTATAATAACAATTAATCATCCATAATTACATGCAAGTAACCCTAAGACAAAACCTAATCCTAACCTTAACCATATAGAAAGTACATGTAGTTAATTAATATTACTCAGTACTTAAATGTATAATTACACTGTAACAAGGACACCTTAAAGAGGTCATATGATGCGATTTCAAGTTTTCCTTTTTCTGCACGCTTAATAAACAAACTCCAGCTGGTCCAAAATGCAGCAGCTAGAGTTCTTACTAGAACCAGGAAGTATGACCATATTAGCCCGGTTCTGTCAACACTGCACTGGCTCCCTATTAAACATCGTATAGATTTTAAAATCTTGCTAATTACTTATAAAGCCCTGAATGGATTAGCACCTCAGTATTTGAGCGAGCTCTTATCACATTATAGTCCTCCACGTCCGCTGCGTTCTTAAAACTCTGCCCATTTGATAATACCTAGAATATCTAAATCAACTCTGGAACAATCCACCTAACACTGTTCGGGAGGCAGACACACTCTGTCAGTTTAAATCTAGATTAAGCTGGTTTACACATAACACACTATCACATTTCTATAATGCAAATGCGTTAAAGGATGGTTAGGCTGCATTAATTAGGTCAACAGGGAACACTTCCCATAACACCCGATGTACTTGTTACATCTTCATGAGGGATGTTTTTTCTCCATTCTGTCACAGATGGAATTTTGGTTCCTTGCCATTGTCGCCTTTGGCTTGCTTAGTTGGGGACACATAATTTCTGACAATATTGTTGACTCGATTGCACAGATACTATTTGAACTGAACTGAGCTGGACGATGACATCACTGAATCAATGATGAACTGACTTTAACTGGAAAATTGAGTGTTTACTATCATCCCATTGCATTATCAACACACCATTTTCCTGTTTAACTCTGTAAAGCTGCTCTGACACAATCTGCATTGTATAAAATACTATACAAATAAAGGTGACTTGACTTGACATGTCTACAGTGAATGAAAAGGGTAAATTCAAATGGTTTTACCAAGTTATTATTATCATTATTAGGTAGCATTGAATTGAGCTGGATAACTGGAAAATAATGACGGAATTTTGCAAGCATCACTGTATAACATTGCACCTAACCGCCAAATCTATATTTCCAAAGCACCTGATGTGCTAAGCGTCAACCACACTTACTTCTCACTGTTATGTACTAAATTAGACGACAGATATTAAAAAAGGAACACTGCATTTGATTAATTAACATGCATTTTCTGAACACATCAAACTGAAAGTAAAAACTAGAGACACGTGTAGTCGTGTCATTTGTGTGCGGTGGTCTGCGGTTCAGGTGCTGGTGATGCAACACTTCAGAGGGCTGAGGGTGTTTAGTGTTGTGTGTGTGTCTCTGTCTGCGCCTGCAGCAAACACAGACACTTACTCTACGCTGGCTCCCGCCTCTCTCTGTCTGTCTCTCTCCACTCGTGAGGTTTGGACTGTTAACACCATGCAGCGCAATCTAGCACTTGTGCACTGCAGGGCTGATCGCTCCACATGACACATATGATCCATGCTAGCACAGGTCATGTAGAAAGAGCCGGCGACGCGAACATGGTACGTGTTTTGTGTGTCTTCTGCAAAAAATGTGGTTAAACTGTAAACATCTGTGGCTGCAGGTCCCTGTCTCTATCTGAAGCGTGCAAAAGCTAACCGTTATGGTGTCTTCTCACCATCTTTTGTTTTGTTTTTTTCAATTTATAGTCACTCTCTTCACCTTCCTGTGTACGATTCAGTTGCAAATCTCAAAATAAAGGCTGGAAATATTGGGGTGCATGCCAAATGAAAAACGGTTTCCTGTTTGTGCACTCTCACTTTGAGAAGTTGAGCTCTTCGCACCTTTGCAAAATCTTCCCACAGTTTGGGGCGTTGCATTTTTCTCAGTATCTGAAATCTAGCACCATTTTAGTCAGTTTCGTTAACTGAAACACATTTGTTTTCATCCCACGAGTGAGATTGAAATTATATTCTGACCTCTGAACTAGGAAACATCCCCAGTTTCCATTTCAGAGATCTGGTCGATCTGGTTTTCTGAGATGAGGGCATAAGATGAAGGTGTTCTTTTGCAAATTAATCACATAATGCTGAACTGTCTGTAAAATAAACCACTGGGACTGCAGAGGTGGAAACTTTTGTGACTTTAGTTCAGCTCCAACTCTAATCAAACACACCAATCATCTGAGATCAGGATGAGTTTGTTTCTTCATCAGGTTTGTAGAAATGTAGCATTGCATCAGTGTCTAAGCAATGGATGCTCTGCAGTGAATGGGTGCCGTCAGAATGAGAGTCCAAACAGCTGATAAAAACATCACAATAATCCACAGCACTCCAGTCCATCAGTTCACATCTGGAGAAGACAAAAGCTGAAACAAATCCAGCATTAAGACCTTTTTTTTTTTTTTTTACTTTAAACTCTCGCTTCTGGCTAAAAAACAAATCCAGTATATTGCTTTCTTACAAACATGTAGATGTTCGCTTCACAAGACTTCACAGATAATTTCTGAAAAGCTAAAAGGAAATTTTAACAAAATATTACATTTTGGAACAAAAAGCCAGCTGTTTTTGTGCCAGTCCTTTCCCTCGTGTTAGTTTGGATTACATTAGTGCCATCTCGTGGCTAGAGCTTACTATTGTTTTCCATTTCTTTTCAACTGGTTTTACACTGAGCATTTACCCTGATAGCACACAAACATCACAGAGACGTTTGATGAGTGTGTTTTCTTTGAAGCGTGTGCTTTTTAGTGTTTTCTCTTTTGCAATATGTTTCTAAAACCTTTACACTTGGATAATTAATTTAGACGATGCATGTTTTAAATCCTATTCATCAGAAGTTTGTACAAAACAGATGCTTTCCAGATAAAATATGCTTTAACACACATCTTGGAGATGCATCTGTAAATCACACCATTTTGTAAAGAAAAACGTCAAACATTAAATAGAGCACCCTTTTCCCCCCAATACTCAGGACTTAATCGCAGCAAGATGTTCATAGGATTGTGAGTTTAATTGCATCAATTTGATTGAAGTATTTTGTTTACATGAGGTAAAGATTAATTGCAATCTCATTATAATCACATTATGAGGTGCATGTAAACATATATTAACATGAATTAAACAAACCATGTGCAAACCTAGAATTTCTGGTTTCTAAATAAATCTTGAATTTCTAAGGGTTCGTGCTCTCAGCAGCTACGTTTATCACACAAGGCTCAAATCATTGTTGGCACAAACCATGTTAATTATGGTCATTTATTTGTATTATTATTATTTACATTAGCACTGTTTCCCTGCTGTCTTTGACACTGTCAGAACCAGATCTGCAAAGGATTTCTAGAAAATAACCAATTCACAGTGGTAACTCAAAGACAATGGTCTTTAACATTCACTGTATATCTCAAGAACAGAAAACCACAAAAATAATCATTTCCACCGGCACTTACATTTAAAGGGGTCATAAGATGCCCATTTTCCACAAGTTGATATGATTCTTTAGGGTCTTAATGAAAAGTCTGTAACATAGTTTGGTTAAAATTTCTCAATAGTAGTGTAAAAAACAGCCCTTTTCAGAGCATGCAGTTTTGTAGCATTTTCCTTTAAATGTTAATGAGCTCTGCTGACCTCGCCCCTCTCTTTCGAGCTGCCTAGTCATCGTGA